TTCGTTGAAGGTCGTTCGCTGATTGGTTGTTAGTGGTGCTTAAAGTTTAACTTTACGCCATTTCGTTTCTCCTTCTTCACAGTCCCCTCAGAAATGTGACTGTTTTTCATTGTGTAAATCAATTGACAAGTGAACGTTCACTAGTGTGAAATAATCCTGGAGTGTGCACATTGTTGATACGATTAGATTTTCATGTATACATTGAAAGTCTAACCAAAATCAACTTCTACTTACCCCTCCCTGCTCTTGTCTTGATTGTGCACCATTGTATGTTTGTATTTTGTTTAAACTTTGACCCCCACCACCACCACCTTTGCATAAGTTATATTATATAAAATGTAACTTCTGAGCATTATTCATTAATTTTTTTTTTGTCTCTGTTAACCAAAAATATTTTTTAAATTATTTTTGATTGTAGCTTAATTCCACACCGTATTTTTGGTACAAGTATGGAATTTTCAGCATTTGATGTCGGTGGCCCGAAATTTTGCAGGCCAACCATTGATATCAAAGTAGGTGTGCATCGGCAGGGGATAGAATCTCGGACCATGTGCATGGTCGGCGAGAGTCATAACCGCTGTACCACCGACGCACCCCTGCAGCGATTAAGTTAAAAAGATTTCTATGTACACATATATACACACATGTAATTAACTTTTAGGTTGTATGCAGCTGAAGAGAAACCAACATAATATGATAAACGATGATGGTCTCATCTTATTCTGCACAAATATTTCTGTATTTTTGCTTTATTTTCAAAATAAATAAAGTAATGAAATGGTCGTATTGGTGACCTGGAATCATTTAAATTTTCTATTCAGTGCCTAATGCGTTTATTCTTTTACTTCTTTACTGTTTCTTGTGTTGCTTTAACACTCCAATAATGTCACTGGACAGCAACATGAGAACTCAAGTAAATTTTTAATTGACTAACATCCAACCTACTTACCGCACTTTGTACATTTCAGGAAGACATTGAAGAGGGGTGGGGAGGGGAAATGTCGTAGAGAATTGAGTACACTGTCTGTCGATGGAATAATTTACTACTTGAAGAGATTCTCTATATAATATACACGGGGAGTAAAAATTTTGCAATAAATTATACTGAGTATTATGCATTTTGAGTAAGCATACTTTATAATTATTGATAACAACTATACGTGTTTAACACAGTCAAACCTATAGTATTTATTTATTATTATTGTTCCCTTGGGTTCCTAGTGGAACATAGGGCTTCAACTGCACTCCTCCACTTGCTTCTGTCTTCTGCTGTACTTTTCACCTGCATCCATGTTATTCCATACTGTTTCAACTCCTCTTCACACGATCTCCTCCATGTCACCCTTCCCTTACGTCCCACTCGCCGCTTCCCTTTCGGGTTCCACTCGAGCATTGGCCTGACGCGCGATGTCACCCAGCGGCCTCCTCAGCGAGTGTCCAATCCACCTCCACTTTCTCCTGCATATTTGTTGGGCGGTTGGTTCTTGTTTTGTTTGTTCCCATAGTTTCTTGTTGGTGATTCTTTCCGGCCATCTGATCTTCAGTATAGAACGAAGACAGTTGTTGATAAAGGTCTGCAACAGGCTGTTGGAAATATTCTTTGTGACCCGCCAAGTTCCTGATCCGAACGTATAGAAGAACTGACTGACTTGACGTTTGTCTTGAAAATTCGAATTTTGTTGTTGATGCTGAGTTGAGTGACGAAGATTTCCAGATTGGTTTCAGGTCGATGAATGTGTTTCTCGCCTTTCCGATTCTCGCTCGATTTGACATCCTCGTCCGTTCCTCCTGTAGTTGAGATAATGCTCCCTAGATAAGTGAATGAAGTAATCTCTTTCAAATCCCTCCCGTTGATGGTGATTGGCGCTGGATGTTGCTGCTGTTGTCCCAGTGGCTGAATGGTATACGAGCTTGCCTTGTAACCGGAAGGTCCTGGGTTCATTAACCTCGCCTAGATTACTAGCTCGCTAGTTTTCTAGCCGGTCCCAAGTCCGGATAAAGAGGGAGGGTTGGGGCGTGGTGCTAGCAACTCCACCCCCAAAACTTAACCAAACTGCTACAGAAACTTCAACGCATAAATACATTAAAAATACTAAAACCTATAGTATGATATAACTTAACTGTCAAAATCTCGAAAGGTACAATGGGGGTTCAAACCGAAGACTCAGTGGGATTTGAAAAAAACGCCTGTGTCTAAAAGAAATCATGAACTCAGAAGTAGAAAGCATCACTTGCTACTTTCCTACAATTTCATTGGTTACTGAAATCGCAGTCAGACAGTGTGTCTGAACCTTCCCCATGTGATTAGACAAACCGGACAAGCCACCAGTCAGAGACTTTATGTATTGATGCCAGGGTTTTGATTTGACTACTCTTGTAACAGCAGAAGGCAAAGACACGGAAGCCAAGGTATATTTTCTTCAAGTGATCAAAAAACTATTTATATATCTATATAGTTTTATATTCTTTAACCAGTCACTGAGCCAGTGTGTGATTTTGGTTTACATCAGACGACATGAAATAGAATGTTCAAATACATATACATAGTATTCTGTTGCTTGCTAATGCAGCATTGAACTGTGGAAATAGTATTCAGACGTTAACACCAACAAATATACAATGATTCTTACTGTGAGAATAATATTCAGGTTGGAACCCACTGTCTGTATCACACCACCACCACACTCTTAGCTCTTTTCCAATCTAATTCTATGTTGGCTAACATTGCCCGTCGAGGAAGGAGATGGCTTGTCAAGTCCGACACATGTTCGAGCCATCTCTCAATCGATTATCTCACCATCTTTCTTATCTAGCACTCTCTACATCTAACAATATTACTTAACAATGTGAGATAGAACGCAAACAACTGTGGGGTTAAAAAAAGAAGTCATGAACTCAGTGGAAGCAGAAAATACTACTTGATAGTTCAAAAGTTTTGTCTGTCTGTTTTCAACATGGAAATTTGCACTGATGTGCGGCAGTTCAAGTCGCCCCCCCCCCCCCGTGTACCACGCAAAGCAAGAGAAGAAACGCATAATAGAGATAGCCGACAGGGATATGAGACAAAAGGAATAGTAATAACGAAGAACAATATAGTTTCATTGGAAATCATAAGTCACAAGGAGTGGATGCATCTGCACCAGCCATCACTGAGAACGATTTTGAGCCATATCACCAATTGTCTCCAGCCACCATTGGTGTTTACCGTCCCGAGGACCCCAACCAGGAAGTCCATACCTTCCTATGTGGCTGGTTTAAACTAACTGTTGTGGATTTTATTGACTGGTGCCATGTTTTCGTTTGACCGCCGCTAGCTCTTTTCCAGCCTGACCCTATGTCAGCTAACATTGTCCGCCGGTCAAGGAAGGCGATGGTTAGGCATACGTAACACATGCCCTAATCATCTCAGTTGATGTAGCTTCACAGCCATGTCGTTTGATTTCCTCTCCTTACCTAGCACTCGACGCCTAACCTCAATATTGCTCACTCTATTATACCACTTCACATGGGGGATAGAGCACAGGTACCTATGATCGAAGACAGCTAGCCTTTTCAAGTCTTCCACTGTCAATGGCCAGGTCTCACAGCCATAAAGGAGGACGGAGTGGACTACAGAGCAGTACACACATCCTTTGGTAGGTAGCCGGATATCACGTCTACGCCAGAGACGGCGTAAACTGGCATATGCGAAACTAGCCTTCTGTATCCGTGCTGAGATTTTGTCAGCGGCCAACCCCACTGGCAACAGCTGATGCAACTTCCCAAATAAGTGAAGTGGTCAACACGCTCCACCAACCAATTCACTCTCCTCTGTCCTTAAGCTTGTAGCCAATGTGGTCCGACTCGGTAGCTTCATCATCTTACATCTGACAGGAGCGAATCGCATGCCAAACATTCGAAGATTGCTGCTCCTCAAGGTGTTCAGAAGACTGCTGTTAAGTTTGATTTTGCCTTCTTTTGATTTTTCAGGGTTCAGAAGACTCTACTCTATTGTGTCAGCATATTCACCTAGGAGGCAGGATTATATCATCTGCATATTATAAGTCAACGAGATTATTCCCTAGTGGTAACAAGTCAATCCCTACGTCTCTGAAGTAAGTTAGGGTTAAGTCCATTAGTACATCTATGGTGAAATTGAATAGAAATGGGGATAGTGGGCATCCCTGTCGGACACCACTAGTTGTCACCTGTTCAAATGACAACTCGCTGTAAGCTGTCATCTGGCTGCATGAGTTCGAGTACAGTGCCTTGATCAGTGCAATGTATTTTCTCGTCATTCCTTTTACACCTAAGCATCGCCAGAGTACCTCCCGGCCGACAGAATCGAATGCTATCTTTAGGTCAAGATATATAACGATTGTTGGACTCCGGTAAGTATGCCTGGATTCCAGAATCTGTAGAAGGGTGCAGATATGATCAATATACCCTCTTCCTGGTCTAAAGCCGGCCTGGTTCTCTCGTGTTTGTTCCTCCCGAGCACCACTTAGTCTACGCAGTATTATTGAGCCTAGGACTTTAGATGCCATATTAGCCAAGCTAATCCCCTGTGATTATCACAGGAAGACCTGTCTTTCTTCCTGTATATGAGGATAATCACTGACTTACACCAACCCGATGGGACTTCCTCTGATTCCCAGACGCTGCCTAGTACCTTAGTTAACGCAGACAGGAAACTGTCTCCACCGTACTTAAATACCTCGGGAGTTATTCCATCGCGTCCTGCTGCTTTACCTCGTTTCAGACTAGTGACAGCCTTAGTAACCTCAGTTAGGGACGGGGGACCTGGCAGGTGTTGGATCTTCGGTAAGTTGAGTGTGGCTGTAGGCCAATTAAACTGCTCCTCAACGTGTTCTTTCCAGCGTTCTAGTCGTTTAAAAAGTTTTGAATTTCAAAGTTTTAATTCAAATTTAAACGGGGAGAATCAGTTCTCCTGTGTGCGTGAACAGTTAACTTCAAATTGGTTTGGTAAACAAAAACAACAAAATAAAAAAAATACTTACCTTCAATAAAATCATCTGGTTTTTGAACTCTTTGTGTTTCTTTTGATTCTGTCTTCTCAGGAATATGTGCACTCTCTGATCCTCGAGAACGACGAACAGTAAAATCTGGTGTATAATAATATGACTGAGAAGTTAAATACGTCGATTTTTGTTCATTGCATGAAGTTTCAGTAGTTGGAACATTCAGCTGTAAAAATTGAGTTGGTCTTCGACTACGCGGTTTAGTAGAAATCTCAGGGTCAGGTAATCCATGAATTGATGGTTCTTTAAGCTGATCAACAGATTTTCGTCGTTTTGGTGGTTCTTTGAATTCACCGACAGTCTTTTCTTTATTCTTTAGTCTTACGCTCAACTTTTCATTGTCACAGTTATCACACCGTTTGCAGAGTAAACTTGCAGGAGATGCTTTACGAGTAGTAGTAGTAGTACGTGGACGAGGTGGAATTCGTACATCTTGAGGGTTTTGCCCAGGAGGATAATTTGTTACTTTACTTAAATAAGGAGTGTCTTTTGCATAACAAGGTGTCGTCGTAGTAGTGATTGACTCTTCTTTAGTATCCACCAAACGATTTTCGTCTGGTACTAGGTCATTTTTACCCAGGATCAGACATGTTTGATTCTCTACGGGATTAGCTCGAGCTACAGGAGTAATCTGTGATCGATACTGACCAGTTGATTGCGATGAAGCCTGTGGAGAGGATATAGAGGACTTAGAATGGGGAAGTACCACCAGGGGTTCAGGTGAAAGCAAACCACGTCGAGTATGTGCAACAACAACACCTGCTGCTGCTGCTGCTGATGTAGGAAAGTTAGGAGGGCTAATAGATTTAGGAGATGAAAAGAGCTGCAAGTTCGACGAACTTACACCAGAATTGACAGTGGAATAACGTAAAACACTTGGATTTTCATAACAATCATTCTTGACGTTTATATCAATAAGATTTGCGTTTTTATCTGATAGTCTTGCGGCACGACGAGCTGGAAAAAACAAAAGACGACAATCATATCTATTATTCTAAGTGAATGGTGAATAAGATTAACAGGTGATATTTACGTGGTATGTTATATGCATATATTTGAAATATAACAAGTAATTCGCAACTGATAGATAGAGGTTAGAGGACACATACATTTCTAAAGCATTCAGTGAAGGTTGACAAATTAACGCGGAACTTTGCACAGAAGTATGTCGTTTTAATCTGCCACACTACGATGGAGGGAGTAACTCAAATGAAGTTCAGCAGAGTTTTTTTTTATTATCTCTTAAACCATGCGTGGACATATCCGCACCTTTTAAGACATCCTACTAAGGGTAGGTGGATGACACCTTCACGGCAATGAAAACAGAATATGCCTCTAGCTTCTTTACACAAATAAACTCAATAGTAAACGGGAAACAATTCACATTTAAATCAAAAACTCAACAAGGAGAATTAGCTGTCAGGTTGTAAAATAGAACGAACAGAAGAAAGTAAACTCTGCACCAGAGTTTATAAAAAGTCAACGCATTTTAATAGATATTTAGACTTTAATTCACCTCATCCGTTATCTGTGAAGGCAAGATTAGTTAAATGCTGTCTAACAAACCGAGCAAAAACATTAAGTAATACTTTAGAAAACCCATGTGATGAAATGAAACAGATAGAAGAAGAAGCGTTGGTGTTTAATAACTATCCTAAAAAATCCACTGGAAAGATCACAAAAGGTTGTAAGCAGAAGAAAAACAATAATTAAACTAGTAGTCATAGCATGAATAGGAATTTAAAGCGTCTAGTTTTACCACATAAGTAGAGGACATCTGGAACCCGAAGGAGGATTCTTAACAAAGTAGGAATTGTGGGGCATCCACACTTATAAACTCACTCAGGTAGGACAAGCCCTGTAGGTTAAAGGACCCTATAGGTTGACCCAATCAGACAAAGCAATACAATTTACAAAATCCTTGCAGTGACCATGGGGTCAACTACACATACCAAACCAGTAGATCGGGAGTAGTCAGATTGTCAGACTTATAAAAATTTAGTTGAGGTTAGAACGATTGATCCCGCGAAAATGAGTAATTGTGAAAAAAACTCAGCAATTGCAGTGCTTGCATTGGCACGTAACCACACAATAGGTTGGGAGGGGATTAAGATTCTAAGTAATATAGATGGACGGAGATAGGGAGGTTGATTACTGAATCTTTGTTCATAGAATCTACACCCAACACATGCAATAGGAACAACTCATCACTAAAACTAGAGATACGGAAAATATTACTACCAATCAAATAGAGATACAAGAAATAATGGAATTATATACACGAAGTTGGAAAGTTGTGTGAGTAACTTGATGTGATTGTGAGCGGCAATAAATCGTGCTCAAAATATTGTATAACACTTTATGAGACTTTATCAAATAAATCTACTCTATGATGGAACTATGCTGCTCTACTACGCTGTTCAACTTTTATTCTCATATCCTACTAAAGGGTTTTCGTGTGCATCGGTAGAGTGCTCACCAACCACGCCATATGTAGTCCGGCGATCAGTTCCCGGTCGACGCACTCCTTTACCTTGCTAAGCCAGTAGTAAGACTGGTAAAGAGGGAAGGTTGGGCGTGAGGCTGGTTAGCGACCCCATCCTGTAAAAATAATCACCACTGCTACAGAAACTTCAAGCCTCTAGCTTGAAGCTCTATGTTCCACTGGGAACGTAAAGGAATAAAATAAAACTAAAGGGTTTTCAATCATTGATTTTTGGCGTTCCGAGGACCTCAGCAAGACACTCTACACCTCTCTCTATGTGGTTCAGATTAACAGTCTGTGACAATTTCCAGACCTAACCGTGAGAATTCAACACAGCTACTTTCTTGTTCAAAAACTTTTTTTCTTAAAAATACCGAGAAACAATGTAGTGACTATGATACTGAAAAGAACACAAAAGAGAGATAAATAAAAAGTGTATTGAATTGAACTTACATCGTTTAGTAGCTGTCAAGTGTGCGTTAGACAGATAAGCTGATTGTCTTTTTTGTCCTGCATAATTATGATCCCGATGTATTTCTTCTGATTTTGTTTTACGAAACCAGAATGGATGTGCTCTCTTTTGGAGAAAATGAGTTAGAAATTAAAAAAACACCAAAAAAAACTTACAAATTTTATTGACTCTATCAGTGAAGTTTGTGGAGTTAACTCGTTTAAAGCACTTTCCATTGGATGTAAATGGAGTCTTTTTAGCAGACCAAACATTGGCTGAACAGCTGTCACCATGTTAAAATTATCTGAAGAATAAAAATAGTTGAATAAAAGATTTATCTTTAACACAAAGTTGACGAAAAATAAATGCGATTTATTATTATTATTACTATTATTACTATTATTATTGTTTCCTTTAATTCCTAGAGGAACATAGGGCTTCAGACGCACGTCTCCATTGCGATCGGTTCTCTGCCAATATTTTCACCTGACTCCACGTCTGCCCGCGTGCTCTTCACATCAGTTCCTCCATGTCACCCTCGCACTGACGACCAACTAACTCGCCGCTTTTCATTCGGGTTCCACTGAAGCTATAACCTGGTGTGGGATGTCACTCACTTGATAATTTTTTTTCTCAGAGTATGGCCAATCCACCTCCATTTCTTCCTGCATATTTGTTGTTCGATTGGTTCGCTTATTGCCAGAGATCCCTGTTTCTGATCTTGAGCGGTATTGAGCGGAGATAGCTGTTGGTGAAAGTTTGTAGTTTGTTTGAAGTGCCTTTCGTGACGCGGCACCAAGTTTCTGATCCGTATAGTAGCACTGACTTCACATTGCAGTTGAAAACCCGGAACTAATTCTTCATGCTGAGTGCTGTTAACCTCTATACAGACTTGAGAGTAATGAGAGCTTGCCTTGCTTTCCCGATCCTCGCTTTGATATCCTCGTCAGTTCCGCCTGTAGTCGACACGATGCATCCCAGGTAGGTGGGTAAAGGAGGTCGCTTCTTTCAGATTTCTCCCACTTATGCTGGTTGTTTTCTGTTGCTGTTGCTGTTGGCCAGGAATCGTCATGACCTCTGTTTTCTCTATGTTCAGCCGAAGTTCTATCTCTGATGCTTCTTCAGCCAACTTGTTGCTTTTCACTTGCAGGAAATAGTTAAATAAGTCAGCTGAATGCATAAAAAACCCTAAGCAATAAATGAGTGTCTAAAAATCTACCAACAAGGAAAGAAGATTAAGTGTTGTTGGTAGTTCATGCTGGCTTACTGATAGATGGCCTTTAATTTCAGAAATTAGAAGAAATGGGAAATAGGAATCCTCTGTTAGACTTGATATAAGCTTTTTGCTACATCTACGTTAGGTGTTTTCACTTTAAAGGATACAAAAAGACTACACCTGGAAAACCATTTAGAGAATGCTTCTTAAAGAACTTACTTAACAATTCGTATACCAACACAACATAAGTCATCATGAATAAAACTGGCAAACTGGAGTGTTGTACAGCAATGCAAAAAGTTCTATCTTAATGTCCATATCTGATGAAACTTGGCACAATCTCTAGTGTATTGTAAAAAAATAGTAGACAGCTATGAAGCAATAGTTTGTTGATCTACAGAGTCAACTTACACTTAAATAATGAGTTTGGACGCCCCTTTAACCAACCAAATGGTGAACAACTCAGTGATACATTGCATCTCATTGAATTGCGAACATTTTAAATCTAGGTGAACTTCATAATGCAATAACTCATAGGGATTGTGTTCTAAGGATTACGTTAAACACTTCAGATTACCTGATCAATTACATTCGAGGTTTATCGTGAATGCATTCTGTGACGAGTAAAAGTCATGCTTCCCGACTTAGACCAGTATTTTCATGAAATACAAGTCAGAGCGGAAATTATGCATTCAACTTCGAAGACCTCGAAATATCGGAGGATAACCTGGAAATAATAGGATATCTGATTCAACTCTCAGAAGAAAATTCTTTTGCGATTTGTAGGGGGAGGCTGCAATGATGACTGTGCATCACTAGAAAACGTGGTTGTAAATCCCTTAACTGTATTGAGAGCAACTTGAGTGACCTATAACACCAAAATAAACCCAAGATTTTCGATTACTATAAGCAGAATCGATAAATAATCAAAGCTGTTTATGTTCAGGGTAATCCACTAGGTTGCAAATTATTCCATACATCTGTTGTGGAAAAAGGAATTGCTTTTATTATCAGAGTGGTCTGTTTCAGTTAAAAACTCAACTTGGCATTTGTGTTGGTAGTACTTTCCATACATTAGGAATATGTAAACGTACTTTAAATACATGTTTTAAGCGAGACAGTAGTATGATGGTCTTATTTATTTATACACTTGAGATTCAGTCGGACCTCGAGTTGGAGTCCTGCTTTACTTATACTAATGGGTAAGTGGGTAGTAACACCAGTCCCCACATGCGTGACAGACTGGTATGTGTAAAATAACTGCGTTCTAACAAACAAACCAGAAATTTGTGTCAGAAGATACTTTCCATGAGTAGAACCACAGTAACACCGAAGTTAAGCGTGAGGAGCTAAGTGTGGCTAGCGAGTCAAATGATATGGGTATTAAGAATATCTGCAATGGTAATGAAGTTACCAAGACTAATATTAATAAAGTAGCAAAGAACAGTTAAACAGAAACATGAACATTAACAAATTCTTCCACGAAACGACATGAACCGTATAACAACTGATATTTTCGGTTGCCTCAAAATCTGTACCAGTGATGCGAACACATACATTACCTAAACTTTGATTGCCCCACCTCTCCCTCAGTCTTTACGATCACTTATCACTCAGTTTCTTCTGTAGAAGAGTTTGAGATAGCAAATTAAACGGAAACGTCAAGTCTATGTACAAGCAGAGAAAAGGACTTGTTTTGAGACAGGTCTACCCTATTCTGATAGAGTTGGTCAGTCAGTTAGAAGTCAGTTGCCTGGAGTGAATCTCTCATGTATCTAGCTACAAGTCACACTTGTTTGAAGGTTAATGATACTATCCAGTTTCTCAAGATGAAGTCTGTTGGGCGAGACTCCAACCCAGAATCCACTCACCGAAAGCCAAATGCTCAGTCCAAAGAGCCACATTTTCTCTGTCGAAGCCTGGAGTCATTCAGTTTATTGTAAAAGCTGTTACTCAACCACTTACGATCCCATGTAGCTGGGAATGAGCCACACATTTTGTGAGGGCTAGTGATGCTACCTGGCTGCCCACACCTCGATAGGTGGAGGAGGTTTGGATTCGTCATCCAGTAGATGGAAGTCGAGTGCTTAGATCAATTACTCATGGTCCTACTGTGAAAGCAGTGGTTGAGATAGTAGTCTGTATTTATATTTAAGTAACAGCCAATGAATTCGAGAACTTTCGTTGAAACATACCAACATGAGAAGGTTTATTCCGATACCATTTAAGCATCTAAGTGTTTTGAAGTTTAATGAAAGCATAGTTATTCGCCTTCTTCGTCCAATACTGAGAATTATTAATAAGGGAAGTTTGCTTTCTGCTGCGGCTGGAGGCATTCCTCTAAATGATCTCGAAGCAGTGTAGATTTGTAACTTGTGAACGTTCATATCGACCCTTAGCAAATGAAAACATTGTCATTTTCAGGGTGCATAGCCGGTAAACGACTTGACTTACACCTAACAACACATGTCGTCTGAAGAAAATCCACCCGGACAGTCACATACAGCATACTTATCTACGAATAAATTTGTGTTTACTTTCTCAGTGTGGAGATGTGGCTTGCCAATCTAAGCACTCGACTCAGCTACTGGGTCTTAGGTTCGAAACTCGCTCCACATAATCCATCCTGGGCAGTAGCACCATTCCTTACACACAATACGTGCAGCTCATTGCCCAGTGGTGGAAAACTCGGGCCTACACAGCTAGTAACTTTCTTGACACCTGTGATTCTGATTTTATAAATCACTCACTAGTTATCTCAAAAATAACCTGCAATCAGAGCACCTCATACTCACTCATTACAGGATTAACGGACCTGAGAGTGCACTGTAGCAAACTCCACTTAGTTTTCAGTCAAACAGTGGCCCTTATTCATCTACAATTACGCTCAAAAAGCGATCTAATGTCACATACTGGTTTGAGTTTAGAGTTACAACATACAATATCTTATCAGGCCTCTCAAGGAATAAAAAATACAAATTCAAAGCAACGACTAACCGAACGGTTTCAAAAGCAGTAATAATAACCATGAGTTTGAAGAGCACTACAAAGGCATATTCGTGATAAACATGATGGTAAAACACTTAATCTGAATAAAAATAAGAAAAAGGTTGGTATCATGAATCCGTGATGCTCAGTCTCAAACAATAGTTCAAACCACACGACGAGGATTTACTGTCTTAAGTTTCTATTGAAGAATTGGATATCGGAATCAACACTACTGTTGATTGACTTGATTGTTTCTTAGATATACAAGGGAGTTACCAATAAGACCCTAGATATCATTTCGTGTAATGCATCTTTAACATATACATCCAGCCGAGAGGATCATTTTTGGTTGTTTTCTCAGCAATGAAGCATATATTTCCTTACCTGCCCTGAAAAACTGAATGTTGTTGTGGTTACTGATAGAATCAGAGAAGTCAGGTGCTGTATTTCCAGTATATTGTGTATCTGTAGTCCCCAACTTTTAAAAAACTGAACTTAAAAGCATAAAGAAGCCATAAATCTTGGCAAAAACAAGATGCACATATCGCAAAGGAAGCGGAATCAGGGATTTGGCGAGATATCAGTCAGTGAATCCATGATTATAACAGGACAACCAGTAAAGACTAAGAAAAACTGACGATTACTTCCCGAATCGGTCAGTACTTAAACACAAGCAAAACGATTAGGGATTACTTTAATCAATAAACAATTATAGACACGCAAAACATATATACAACTAACCTTATCGTCATAGGACGAAAACAATGAACGATTTTTCACGCTTCAAAAAGCTGAAAGCAGTCCAAACAAACACGCATTCAATTTCAATTGTTCCAATATTCAGAGTTCATTCTTTAAAGCCTCCTTCTGTTTTATTTTTACTTAATTTTGTTGATGAAACTCTTTCCTGTGACTTCTTGTTACATCTTTTAGTAACCTTTAGAGCGCGACGTTAGAAAGTGGACGGAATTCTGACAAACTTTTGTTTAATTATAACTTCTGTTGTGTTAATCGAAGCAAACACACATTATTCCAGATAAAGTCTAGACATTTTCAGATTTTCCAGGTTATTTCACGATGAAACACTCTGGTTATTCTGGTTCTTTGGTCAAACCATGTCTTTTTGTAGCTTTCTTAACGACCCTGGCCTTAAATTTTGCCTTGATAAATCACCGTTGTGGAAAACTGCCACTTGTCACGTCTCTGTTAATCACATTGTGTCGTGAGACAAAAAATACTGTCCTAATCGGGGCAAGTACCACTAGCATTATTAGTAAGTCTCTTTTGTGTCATCTCTACAACAGACAACGTTATTCAGACAGAGTTAGTCATTCAGGAATTCAGGCTAGGTTGGTAACTCGGCAGGAACTATACTGAACCACTTGAGTTATGAGTCTCTCTTTATCTATCAGAAATAAACCTTCATAACGTTAAGGTTGTTTTGTGCGACGACACGGGTTGTCGATTGACAGTATGGATGATTATTTCGATAATAGAGTCGGCTGCTGGATTTCTATGGTCATTGTGGGTATCTGAATTCCCTGATATGTAGCGGGTGCAGAAACCGCCTTGCTCACTGCCTGTGCAGAAACTATTGCAACATATGGGAAGTAATAGTGATGTATAAATAGTACGAATCCTCCTGGAAACGAAGGTTCCACTTTAGAAACTAACTTTTCTATCGAAACAATTCTTAAAGCTACCGGCCAACAACTCGTAGAGGACTAACAGCGTTTAAGAAATTTAATCTTCGGAAGCACAGTGGAGGGCAAGTGAAGCGAGGAATACCTAGCTAAACAAACGGAAGGCCATTTATCATTCAATAGGTGGAGAAAGCCTTACAGATCTAAAAGAAGGTAGAGTTCCTACTTGGTTGCTCATTATATCCTTCTGAATTCCTCAGTAACTCACCACATCTGAGTGGCCATACCTCAACATGTTGTAGAGGCCCTACATCAGCTTCCCCCTAGAAACAACTTCATTAAGAATGTGGGTTCCATTGGCCTCTACCATGTGGCGAAAATATTTAACTGCTAGGAAGGTTGCTGGCAACTCTTTGTGATAAGTAAAATACCTCGTTTCTGTGGAATTAAGCCTTTTAGAGGAGAATCCTGTGGGTTTCCAGCTATTTTCAGCTAGCTGGTTTAGGGATGCTCCCCCGGCCCTACTGATTACATCTACCAGTAATTCAAGTGGAGCACCTGGATTAGAATATTTCAGGGTCGTGGTTTTCACCAGTGCTTCTTTCGGCTGTGCATTTGCGTCGGATACCTCCTTTGAAAAATGAAAGTCTTTTGGTTTCCCCTTTAATGTATCATTCAGGGGCTGCATGTATTGTATGTGATAAGGTACGAAGCATCGATAGAAGCTGAGCAACCCTAGAAAACTTTGGTGGTGAGTGAGGGAAATGGGCAGGGGATACTGATTGACGTTATCCATCTCTTTGAGCATTTGTGAGATCCCAGTGCTCTCAATAACATGTCTAGAGAACTCTGTTGCTTGCGCCTCAAAAACTCATTTTCTCCGATTGATTTTCATGCAATTGTATTCCAGTTTGCGCAACACTACTCGAGTGTGTTTTTCGTGAGTGTTGATATCCGGGTTGCGACGAGTAGGTCACCTATGTACGCTTTGGGAAGCGGCACTTCACACATCAAGTCATCTGTAAATCTTTGGAGAGCTTATGCAACATTTTGAAGACCAAAACCATCCACACAAACTTATACAATTCAAATTGGATAATAGTGGTTTTTAGGTATATCTTCCTCAACAGCCGGAATATTCTGACAGGCTTTAACTACGTCCATTGAGCGCTTCGAAGATCATTAGTAAAGCCATGAATGTGTGCTACAGGGTATCTGTATGGGACAGCTTGCTTATTTGGGACTGTGTAATCACCACAAGGACGCCAACTAGTTCGAATATTTTAAGGCGCTGTGTGCAACGGTGAGGCTCACTGACTACTCGAGGGCCGAATTATCCACAACTAAAGCGTACGGTCACTCAGTTTTCGCTATTTTCAGTTTGTCCGGGGATAACCTCCTTGGTATAGGGAAAAACTTTGGTGTCGCGTGTCCTTATCGGGTGGGAGGTTCTAGTGCCAACTTCAGAAGATTAAGGGTTAGTTAGTATTGGAGCTAAAACTCCGCTAGTATTTTCTGCAACCTCTCGGTTGTACTGCAAGAAATTGGACTGGACTTGACGAATGGTGATTGTTCGCTTTGCCTTTCGTATGCCAGCAAGTTTCTTTCATTGTTAAACGTCTCTTCCAAGTGGCTATTTATAACCTTCTAGGATTGCTAGGTCTTGGTCAGCGGCAGGGAAAATCCACGGAAGCTGTCGCCTAAGCCGTGGGCCAAGCGTCAGCGTTTTCACCCGGATATCGCTATCTGGGTCTTACTGACCGCCCGCAGTTTGACGCGTAACTTTTACCGTCGCAGGTTAGCCTTTGTTTTCGGTATGATACCAAGTGAAGCTTCGGTATCAACCAGGAAGTCTATACCAGAATTTCAACCCCTACGTAGAATCGGGGATTTTCCGGGCACCCCTTCTCAATAGTCGCTACCTGAGAAAAGCTTGATTGTTCCCCTGTTGGCTGTGTGGTGATTTAAGCCAGGTGCATGGTTGTGTGCATCCCCCTGACTGTGCTCCAAACTGTCAGTGATACTAAAACAATCGGCCTGTTGAACTGGTTTGTTTGGGCCTACTCTTCGGTTGGCAACATAATCTATAAAGCGGTCTACCTTGCCTGCCCTGCATTAAATGTATTTGCGCCAGTTGTTCCGTTAGTGATCTGACGTTAGCCACTAGTCCTGAGACTATTGTGTAGTTTCTCATATTCACATGGTTCGCTTAGCCTTCTGTGAGTCGATAGAAGGTGTTCAGTAGCACGTTGGCTAAGCTGTCTGGTAGTACGCCCAATATAATTGTTCCCGCATGGTGCAGACGTTACCGTTTTGCGTGACCACTTAGTTCAAGATGTATTCTACTTACCATATCGTTTAATTCATGGCTGTAGGAAGAGTAAATGACTGTAAGGTCGTTAGCATTTAGGAATGCTTTACCTGAAGTGAAATAGTTACAAATGCTGTCAATGTGGACTGTGAATAGAAGTGATCCAAGGAAACTACCCTGCACAACCCCGCTTGCGATCTGCCTGGGAAAATAATGACCAGACTTTGGTTATTTGTGCCCTGTTGCTTAGAAATGATTTTAACCAGTTAAGTAATGGATTGTGAATTCCACATTTTCGCAGCTTCTTAAGGAGAATACTGAGGCACCATGCCAAATGCCATAGATATGTCGAAGTAAAGAACAACGACTAGCTTACGGTCCTCGCAACTACTAGTAATGCAGTTGAGAAAGTCGAAGTGACAAGTAACTCAGGACCGACCTTAGGGAAATCCGTGCTGAGACCTTGTGACAAGATTGTTATAACTGCACCGAACTGAATGAGAACCGTAGTCACTTTGTTATGTCTGCGCCTGTTAATTGTTAAAAACGGTAATGAACTCGACTGGTACCCTTACTTGCCTATTTGCCCGTTATGCCTTCTGATTCACTGAGACACGCAAATATCAAAAGACAAAAGCTGTACTGTACTGTATCGCACTGTATTTTTACATTTATTAGGAAAATGAAACATGGTATTTATACATTTTCTTTACAACAATAAAGTAGGCCTCATAGCGTGAGAAATGATTGATCGCATAATGAATCAAAATATGCGCGAGAAATGATATACTACTTTGTGCGGGATCCTGTCAAGATCTTCCCTGATTAGATAGTGTGACAATTAGTCTTTAACGATTTTCTCCACGGTTCGCGAGATAACTGGAGTTATATTTATAGGTCTGTAAATGTAAACGTTTAACCTGTCACCAGACTTGTAGTGTGGAATTATAAAGCTAGTTTTCCACTCATTTGGGTAGATGCCAGTGTCCACAGATATTGAGAAGAATTTAAGAAGAGAGGAATGTCACACCCACTGTCTTTGAAAATTATTGGAGCAAGGCCAGCCGGTCCCGTGCTAGTCGAAGGTATAAAGCTTCCAACTGCTTGTCCCATTAATTGATTGGCATGCATAACTCCCCATTTCACGGAATAGCAAAGTGGTAAGTGAAGATTTTCGGACCTTTGCACAAAGGAATTGTAGGGCATAGAATTAGTGATGTCTTCGACTTCATTTCTAAAAATTCGAGACTAATGTGAGGGGTAAATGTATGTTATCCATGGAAATATCATCACTGTTCACGAATCTACCAACTATAGGAACGGTAGATTACATTTGCAAGGAAATCACCAAAAGGCAATTGGACCTTGAAAATCCCTTGCGTAGCCCCGAAGAATTACTCCTTAAATGCACCACAAATGTACACTGTCTTCAATAATTCATATTACCGACAAGTTGATGGAATAGCTATGGGTTCGCCACTAGGCCCAATATTAGCTGATTTCTTCCTCGGAAAACTTGAAAACAGGAAATTGAGAAACATCATCAAGCTGCCTGATATGTACTGCCAGTACGTCGATGACACATTTATCTTAGTTTATGGGATTGTAAACAGACGAATTGTCGACGGAATTCAACAACATCCACCCTTCGCTTGATTTCACTTGTGAGGGGGAGCAGGATAGTGAACCACAATTTCTGGATGTTTTGTTAATTAGGCGAGAAGTTGGGTCACTTGGGAGAATCGTGTACAGAGAGCCCACATTAACAGGGCAATAAACACACTTCTTTATTTAAGTGCCCATTAAATATATAAGAAATGTTGTGAAATGTCTTACGAGCAGAACAAGAAAGATATGTATGGATGACCACTTACA